AGAAGACTTGGTTCTGCACCTAGTGTTATAGAAATGTTTATTATTCTCAACAATTTTTGCCCTTTTTTCCATTGTGTTTATGGAGGAGTAAATTTTCACAGTCCTTACACTAATAGTGGATGAACTCTTAGAAAATATGCTAAGTGAAAGAAACTAGACACCAAAGGTCATATATTGTTGATTTCATCTATATTAAATGTCTAGAATAGGCAAATCCATATAAACACAATGTAGATTAGTGATTGCTTAGGAGCAATAGAAGGATGATGACTAAAGGTTTAAGGATCTCTTTGTGATGTTATGAAAATGCTCTAGAACTGATTTTGGTGATGGCTGCACAACTTTGTCCATATTGTAACAACCACTGAATTAAATGAGAGAATTATCTATATGTGAATTGTTTCATTCAAGTTACTGACATTACCCACTCTCAACAATTGATACCTCATTTACATCACTCTCAATAACTGACAGAACTAGACAGAAAACCAGCATGGAAAGAAGAACTGAACATTAGTATTAACCAACTAAACCTAATAAATATATACAATAAACTCAACCTAACAATTTATAGCTTCCCTTGTAGTCAGTAAAGAATCTGCCTGCAATGCAGGAGACCTGGGTTCTATTCGTGGGTTGGGAAGATCTCCTGGAGAAGGAAATGGCAACCCACTCCAGTATTCTTGCCTGGAGAATCCAATGGACAGAGGAGCCTGGCAGGCTATAATCCATGGGGTCGCAAGAGTTAGACATGACTTAGTGACTAAACCACCACCTCCACAACCTAACAACAATAATGCAAATTCTTACTAAGTGCAAACAGAGCATTCTCCAAGATCTACCATATGTTATGTCACAAAACAAGTCTTACCACACTGATAAAAAACCAGATCATAGAAAGTAATTTTCAGTGTAAGTTTGGAACAAGGGTCAGGGCTGGGTATAAGGTCACTATGGAAATAAAGCCAAAACATAGTTCCTATTATTACAACTAATAAACCACTAATACTTTATAACTAAAACACTTTCAAGTATTGCTTGAATTGAAGCACTAGATTTTGGAAGTAGAGAATTTAAGCATAATTTGTAACTATGTGTGATGGTAATTTAAAAATTATTTTCTAAAACAATAAAAGGATTTCTTCTGTGTAAAACAACAAATCATTCCTTATATAAGCAAATACCTTTAAGAATGTAGACTTAAGAAAACTCCCAAAAGGAAGAAAAGCAAAAATAAACAAATGGGACCTAAACAAACATGTTTTTGCACATCAAAGGAAACAATAAACAAAATGAAAAAAAAAAATCCTACCTACTTGCAAACAATGCAACCAACAAAGGCTTAATTTCCAAAACGTACAAATTGCTCTTACAATTCAACAAAAACAAAAAATAAAACTCAATTGTAAAAGGGCAGAAGATCAAAGCAGACATTTTTCTGAAGAAGACATACAGATGGCCAATAGGTACATGAAAAGATGTTCATCATCACCAATTACTAGAGAAATACAAATCAAAACTACACTCTGTAAAGCAATTATCCTACAATAAAAAGTAAATTAAAAAAATCAAAACAACAATGAGATACCAACTCACATCAGTCAGAATGGCCATCATTAAAGTCAATAAATAATAAACGCTAAAGGGAATGTGGAGAAAGAGAACCCTCTTACACTTTTGGCGGGAACTTACATTGGTGCAACCACTATTGAAAACAGGATGGAGGTTCCTCAAAAAACTGAAAATAGAACTGCCAAGTAATCCAGCAATCTTACTCCTGGGCATATACCCAGAAAAAACTACAATTTGAAAAGATAGAGGAGAAAAGGAAAGACATACCCATTTGAATGCAGAGTTTTAAAGAATAGCAAGGAGAGATAAGAAAGACTTCTTCAGTGATCAATGCAAAGAAATAGAGGAAAACAATAGAATGGGAAAGACTCGAGATCTTTTCAAGAAAATCAGAGATACCAAGGGGAAATTTCATGGAAAGATGGGCACAATAAAGGACAGAAATGGTACGGACCTAACAGAAGCAGAAGATTTTCAGAAGAGGTGGCAAGAATACACAGAAGAACTATACAAAAAGATCTTCATGACCCAGATAACCATGATGGTGTGATCACTCACCTAGAGCAAGACATCGTGAAATGTGAAGGCAGGTGGGGCTTAGGAAGCATCACTATGAACAAAGCTAGTGGAGGTGATAGAATTCCAGTTGAGCTACTTCATATGCTAACAGATGATGCTGTGAAAGTGCTGCACTCTATATGCAAGAAAATTTGGAAAACTCAGCAGTGGCCACAGGACTGGAAAATTTCAGTTTTTGTTCCAATCCCAAAGAAAGGCAATGCCAAAGAATGCTCAAACTACTGTACAATTGTACTCATCTCACACACTAGTAAAGTAATACTCAAAATTCTCCAAGCCAGGCTTCAACAAACATGAACCATGAACTTCCAGATGTCCAAGCTGGACCGAGGAAAGCTGGATTGCCAACATCTTTTGGATCACTGAAAAAGCAAGAGAGCTACAGAAAAACATCTATTTCTGCTTTATTGACTATATCAAAGCCTTTGACTTTGTGGATCACAACAAACTATGGAACATTTTCAAGAGATGGGAATACCAGACCACCTGATTTGACTCTTGAGAAATCTGTATGCAGGTCAGGAAGCAACAGTTAGAATTGGACATGGAACAACAGACTGGTTCCATCTAAATCAGGAAAGCAGTACCTCAAGGCTGTATATTGTCACCCTGCTTATTTAACTTATATGCAGAGGACATCATGAGAAACACTGGGCTGGATGAAGCTCAAGCTGGAATCAAGATTGCTGGGAGAAATATCAATAACCTCAGATGTGCAGATGACACCACACTTATAGCAGAAAGCAAAGAAGAACTAAAGAGCCTCTTGATGAAAGTGAAAGAGGAGAGTGAAAAAGTTGGTTTAAAACTCAACATTCAGAAAACTAAGATCATGGCATCTGGTCCCATCACTTCATGGCAAATAGATGGGGAAATAGTGGAAACAGTAAGAGACTTTATTTTCTGGGCTCCAAAATCACTGCATATGGTGATGGCAGCCATGAAATTAAAAGACCCTTACTCCTTGGAAGGAAAGTTATGATCAACCTAGACAGCATATTAAAAAGCAGAGACATTACTTTGCCAACAAAGGTCCATCTAGTCAAAGCTATGGTTTTTCCAGTAGTCGGGTATGGATGTGAGAGTTGGACTATAAGGAAAGCTGAGTGCAGAAGAATTGATGCTTTTGAACTGTGGTGTTGGAGAAGACACTTGAGAGTCCCTTGGACTGCAAGGAGATTCAACCAGTCCATCCTAAAAGAAATCAGTCCTGACTATTCATTGGAAGGACTGATGTTGAAGCTGAAACTCCAATACTCTGGCCACCTGATGCGAAGAAATGACTCATTTGAAAAGACTCTGATGCTGGGAAAGACTGAAAGTCGGGGGAGAAGGGGACGACAGAGAATGATGAGATGTTGGATGGCATCACCAACTCAATGGACATGAGTTTGAGTAAAGTCCAGGAGTTGGCGATTGACAGGGAGGCCTGGCGTACTGCGATTCATGGTGCCACAAAGAGTTGGATATGACTGAGTGACTGAACTGAACTGAACTGATATGCACTCCTATTTCAGAGCAACACTGTTCACAATAGCCAAGATATGGAAATAACCTACATGTCCATTAACATGAGTAGATAAAGAAGATATATCTATAAGGTTCCCAGGTGGCTAAGTGGTAAAGAATCAGCCTGTCAATGCAGGAGCCGCAGGAAAAGCAGGTTCAATCTCTAGGGCAGGAAGATCCCCTGGAGGAGGAAATGGCAACCCACTGTAGTACTCTTGACTGGAAAATTCCATGGATAGAGGAGCCTGGTGAGCTATAGTCCATGGGGTCACAGAGTCAGACACGACTGAGCAACTGAACACACACACACGAATATTACTCGGCCATTAAAGAGAATGAAACAACGCCATTTGCAGCAGCATGGCTGAACCTAGAGCTTATCATACTAAATGAAGTAAGTTAGAAAGAGAAAGTCAAATACCATATAATATCACTTATACAAAACCTAAAATATCACACAAAAAAACATATCTATGAAACAAAACAGACTCAAAGTCACATACATCAGACTTGTGGTTGCTAAAGTGGAGATGGGTAGAGGGAAAGATTAGGAGTTTAGGAATAGCAAATACAAACTATTATGCATAGGATGAATAAACAAGCTTCTGTGTACAGCACAAGGAACTACATTCAGTAGCCTCCCATTCATAAACCATAATGGGAAAGAACATGAAAAAGAATAAACATGTATAATTGAGTCTCTTTGTTGTACAGCTGAAATTAATACATTGTTAATGTTAATACTTCAATAAAATTTTTTAAGAAAAGAACAGAGATTGAAGGAATAATCTTTTCTTTTTCATTTGTCTTAAGATTAAACTATGATAACCAACAGTAGGTATAATGTGTCTAATAAGTTGCAGAAAACTCAACTCACCTGAGTAAAAGCATATATATTACAGAAACACACTAATACAGATATTTACCTTAAAGTTTCACATTTTATATAAGTATTTACAAAGAATTAGGGCAATTGCTAGTTAATACTGTGACTTATAGTGATAAATGGAAACTTTTAGAATGGGCAAATGGATAAGCTAAATGAATAGTTGGAGTCTGCTTAAAATCTAAGATACAACAGAATAAATATATTAAAATGCTAAAGAAAAAATCTAAGTGGAAAAGGAATTCTAGTAATGTGTCACAAGATTTGGAGTTCTCCTTAATAAGAACTTATTTAAGAAATCTAGATATTAAACACTAAACCAGTTTAGCAGTACCTAGGAATTTTTTAAACTCATAGGCATGTCTAACACAAATATAAACCTCAAAACACATGTAAAACAAAATATCCATTTTTATAATACAGTCTACTGTAATTTATTTTGAAGTTTCCTTACCTTTATTGTCTGTCTGCTTGTTTGAAATCGTTGATCAGACACTTGCTGCTGATGCAGGAGCTTTTCATTGACTTCTTTATATTCTTTAACAGCCAATTCTGCTGTTTTTTTGGCATTCAAAAGCACGCTGTTTTGCTGTTGCAAGGATACAATCCGTTCTCGTAATAAAATGACATTACTATTTGATTTCTGGGCAGTTATATTTTTCCACTTTTCTCTGTTAACTATATAAAAACAATATTTTAAATAATTTTTTAAAAATCTTGTAAAGTTAAAAAGACATTGTTAATTTCATATATATTCTTACCTCTGGTAGGACCTGCTGTATGTGAAGTCTTTTGAATACTGCTATTCTTCTTTTGAAGAGCTGATTTTTTGGCATTCTTGTGAAAATAAGTCTAAATTTCAAAGTTTCATAAAAATTAGATTATAACTGATGATAATTTCAAGTGAACCAACAAAATATATATTATTTATTTACTTAGAAATGTATGTATTTATGCATAGTAAAAGACATCTGGACAATAAAAATCTGTAACTGATGTCAATAACTCATAAATGAACATAACAGTGCACTAAAGTTAATCTAGCAGGGAGAAGATAAAAATACAAAAATCAACACAAAAGTAGTAGAAGTTTAACCTAAAGGACAGTTTAAAAAGTTAGGAGTAAAAACAGTAGAAGCAACAAAAATAAAATAATATTTTATAACATTCTTTGGGAATCTAGCTCATTTTCTAAAATACTGTTCTCTGTTGTAGAGTTATAAGTAATTTCGGCAAACAAAGTTAAAATAGTAGTGATGATAATAATGTGATTCTCTTTGAAGCTGTATGTTTTCCTCAGGACATTGCAATACACTGAGGCTAAATAAAATGAAACCATTTTGATTTGTTCCAAACTGTTTCACCAATCTATAAAAGTTTTCCCCAAACAAAAATTTAAATAGGAATATGCTTCAAAATATTACAAATCCTAACAATAAAGTATATCACCTTGTTTAAGAATTTATTTCCAGAGAAACAGGAACAATATCAATCTAGAAAATTATTTCTTTAAATAAAAGAACTTTTTTCAAAAAATCCACTTCAGTTGAAGGAAAAAAAAATTTAACTGAATGTTATTCTGACATTGAGCCATAGATTTTATATCGACAGACATATATGTTATACTAAATTATATATAAAGAATGTCCTTAAAGTAAAAAACTGATTTATTAACACAAATACCAAAACCTCCTATCTATGATAGGAACGTCCTTTAAAATAAATTCTTTCCTATAAATGAAATGTTTCATTTCTCAAGGTATTTTTATTTATTATTTTTATTTGCTTGATTTTTTTTTATTTGCTTGATTTTAAATTAATTATTTCAGTTCAGTTCAGTAGCTCAGTCGTGTACAACTCTCTGTGACCCCATGAACCACAGCACATCAGGCCTCCCTGTCCAGACCAACTCCTGGAGTCCATCCAAACCCATGTCCACTGAGTCGGTAATGCCATCCAACCATCTCATCCCTGTCATCCACTTCTCCCCCTGCCCTCAAACTTTCCCAGCATCAGGGTCTTTTCCAGTGACTCAGCTCTTCACATGAGGTGGCCAAAGTATTGGAGTTTCAGCTTCAACATCAGTCCTTCCAATGAACACCCAGGACTGATCACCTTTAGGATGGACTGGTTGGATCTCCTTGCAGTCCAAGGGACTCTCAAGAGTCTTCTTCAACACCACAGTTCAAAAGCATCTATTCTTCGGTGCTCAGCTTTCTTTATAGTGCAACTCACATTCATACATGACCACTGGAAAAACCATAGCCTTGACTAGACAGACCTTTGTTGGCAAAGTAATGTCTCTGCTTTTTAATATGCTCTCTAGGTTGGTCATAACTTTCTTTCCAAGGAGTAAGTGTCTTTTAATTTCATGGCTGCAGTCACCATCTGCAGTGATTTTGGAGCCCAGAAAAATAAAGTCAGCCACTGTTTCCCCATTTATCTGCCATGAAGTGATGGGACCAGAGGCCATGATCTTAGTTTTCTGAATGGTGAGCTTTAAGCCAACTTTTCACTCTCCTCTTTACACTTTCATCAAGAGGCTCTTTAATTCTTCTTCACTTTTTGCTATAAGTGTATTGTCATCTGCATATCTGAGGTTATTGATATTTCTCCTGGAAATCTTGATTCCAGTTTGTGCTTCCTTCAGCCCAGGGTTTCTCATGATGTACTCTGCATAGAACTTAAATAAGCACGGTGACAATATACAGCCTTGACGCACTCCTTTTCCTATTTGGAAACAGTCTGTTGTTCCATGTCCAGTTCTAACTGGTGCTTCCTGACCTGCATATAGCTTTCTCAAGAGGCAGGTCAGGTGGTCTGGTATTCTCATCTCTTTCAATTTTCCAGTTTATTGTGATCCACACAAAGGCTTTGGCATAGTCAATAAAGCAGAAATAGATGTTTTTCTGGAACTCTCTTGCTTTTTTGATGATCCAGCAGATGTTGGCAATTTGATCTCTGGTTCCTCGGCCTGTTCTAAAACCAGCTTGAACATCTGGAAGTTCACTGCTCACGTATTGCTGAAGCCTGGTCTGGAGAATTTTAAGCATCATTTTACTAGCGTGTCAATTCTTTAATCATTAAGATTCAATTAATATTATGTGCTGGTCATGTACTGACCACTGTAAAAAGATCCAACTACCAAATTACCAATATTAGTTACCATGTGTGCATGCTTAGTCGCTCACTAGTGTCCCATGCTTGTGACCCCATAGACTATAGCCTACAAGGCTCCTCTGTCCATGGGATTTTCCAGGCAAGAATACTGGAGTGTGTTGCCATTTCCTTCTCCAATTAGGTACCTTACTTAGTATCAAATTAACTGGACCTAAAATTAAAAAGAGGCTTCCATTTGCAGTGTTACTACTCATGAGAAATCCAGAAATATACCTTGAAGTAAGCACGCTTAAATCATGTTTTAAACATGAGAAAGTGTTACGGTAAATTCTGAGGCCAAAAATAAAGTAAAGCAAGAATTCAGAGGGATTTTCCTGGTGGACCAGTTGTTAGGATTCCAGGCGTTCACTGCTGGGGACCCGGGTTTGAACCCTGGTTGGGAAACTAAGATCCTACGAGCTGCGATGAACATTGGGGTGCACGTGTCTCTTTCAGATCTGGTTTCCTCGGTGTGTATGCCCAGAAGTGGGATTGCTGGGTCATATGGCAGTTCTATTTCCAGTTTTTTAAGAAATCTCCACACTGTT